ATATATTTATAAAAAAAATAATTACAAATAAATTCAGAATTAATTGATAAGGTACGTGGTGGTCCTATCTCGGTGTAGTTAGGAATCGGCCTAGGTAGCGTGTCACCAACTCTAATTTTAATACATTACTTTGTTTTTTAATTTAAATTTTTTATTTTGTAATTTAAATTATATTATTTTATAAAATAAAATTATTAAACATATAAAAAAAACCTCTAACATCAAATGTTCACCTTTTGTCAAATAACTTTTATCATACAATTTAAATTATATAATAATTTTTTCCTTTAATTTTCAAAAGAGAGGTATTCAATTAACCTGACGAATGGTTGTCCTCATCTGACGCTATCTAATAGTTGACAATGAATTTTAGAAGTTTAAAAAGAGAAAAAAATCTGCTCTGAAGCTAGAGCTTTTAAAGAGTTGGATTATATTTAATGTAGTTGTGATTTTTTAAAATTTATAACTTTAAACAAAAATTGTTATTAGAAAAATAGAAAAACAAACTAGTTTAAATGTTAGTAAAATAAATTTATAATTTTAATTATAAATATTAATAATATATTTAAATTAAAAAAATTAAATTTTTTTAACAAATTAAATTATAAATATTTAAAAAATATTATAATTTAATTAATTAAAAATCTTTTTCCACCCTTCTCCTTTCCTCGATCCAATTATTAGGTAAAGTATAAATTATCAGTTCATTTACAAGTTTTGGTCGGGCTAAGTATTAGGTATAAGTATATCTCATATCTATAGGCATGTGATTTATTTGGGTAGGCATTTTACCTATACCTGTGAAGAGATAGTTAAATATCGAATATGAAAAATGCGTATTTGTTAAGTATCGAGTAAGTGTTGGGTATGAGAGTCAATACCAAAATACTTAACTTGTATATCTAATCCATATACCTAACATGTTTATCTGACCCATATACCTAACATATATTCTAGTTTTATATGGTTAATTTATAATATAATGTTATGAAATTAAAATGTTTATTTTTTTTCTTTTCTTCTACCAGTGAAGAATCAACTGAAGGAAAATTATGTGAATTTTTATTTGTATTTCTTTTGTTATTATATATATAAATTTATGTATATATACGTGTATATGTTCACGTATTTTATTTCATATATAAACTTATATTATACATATAAACTTGTAGTTATATATTAATTTATATATTTTTAACGTAAAATTTAACAAGTATACAGCAAGTTGGATAAGGGGTATAGATTTTCAATACCTACTGGGTATTGAAATTCCATACCTATCATTGTTCAAGTCAAATACATGTATGGACAACTACTTGCTCCATACCTACCCATGCTCACCCCTAGGTTTGGGAGTAGAGAAATAAATGGAGACACTGTTCTTACAAGCTGGGCCCAAATTACCTATTTATGCTACGTCAGATTTATATTGTCATGGCCCACCAAATTAGGGCCCATAACTTTTGTGTCACCCATTGGATTCCCACAAACAGTAAAACCTAGTACAAGGAAACTGCGTTACCCCTCGAACTTATTTCAAATTTCATATTAACCTTTTAAATTTTTATTAAAACATATAAAATCTTAAATTTGATTTGGACCTTTGGGTTTAAATGGTTTCGTACCCAAGTTTTAAGATATTAGGGTTAGTTAATCGGGGTTTTAACTCCTACGTCTTGAAAAATCCCTTTCTCAATCTCTCAAAATTGTAAACTATTCAAAAAAATAAAGTAAAATCTTAAATTTAGTGATTTGAGTAATTTAATTTTTTATGGTAAATTTAGTACTTATTTATGCATTACTTATATAGATAAAATGTTGATATATTATTACTTCCATGATAAATATTAATGTTATTTATACAAGTAAAGCATAAATAAATATTAAATTTATTATAAAAAAATTAAATTATCTAAATTACTAAATTTAAAAATTTTATTTAGATTTAATCAAGAATTTCACATAAATTTAGAAGTTTGTTGTAAGGGTTGGACTCAATTAAGACCATGAGAGGGCCCATCCTAAGCCCAAGTTATCGGATCGCGTGATAGCTTTGGTTTCCTTCTCATAGTACACTTCCAACCAGGGCTGGGCATTTGGAAACCGAATCGATGGTTACTTGAAAATCGAACCAAAAAATGAGTTCGGTTCAATTTCAACAGTTTTTCATATTTACTATTTTGATGTTAATAAAATAATTTTTGGTTTAATTTTGGTTGAATTTTTCAAAAATTAAAAACTAAAAATAAGTTTTTGAAAACTAAAATTATAATAAATATGATAAAATATAATAAAATATAATTTATTATTTAAAAAATAATTAATTAATATTTATTTAATAAAAATTAAAATCGAATTGATTTTATTAGTAATCGAATTAATTGATTTGTGAAAACTTTAATTCGGTTTTGATTCTCAAAATTGAAGAAAAAAATTTTCGGTTATTTTAAAACCGGTTTCGGTTTCGGTTTTAGCCCACCCCTTTCCAACTTCGACGAAGTTTCGCGTTATCCCTCCCCCTAGCTGAAGCTGCTGAACAGAAACAAACTTCTTGTCTCCCAAGAAGCAGAGAAAGGACGGAATCAGATGGCGTCACGCGACAAGAAACCGGCGAAGCCATCCAGCAGCCGACCCGGCGGCATACGCACGCTATCAGATCTGAACAGGAGGTCTGCTCCCGACTCCGACAGCGACTCCGATGGTCCCCAAGAGTATTACACCGGTGGAGAGAAAAGGTGTGGCCGCCTGGTTTCCAAACCTTTGCTCTATTCTCTGTGTTCTCTTAATTTTATTTTTGATGACTACTTCCTTAGTGTTTTAAGGTGTATTTTGATTTCTGTAATCCTGATTGCCTGTTTGGTTGCCGAGAAAAATTAAGGCGAAATGAAATTTCGTTTATTGAGTTATTTGATTTCGGTGATCCTGATGTGGAAAAGTAGTGAAGGTGATGATGGTAAAGATGCCTTTGCCCGGCCACCAACAATAATGTTATGGCTACCAAAATTGTAAAATATTATTTTTAAAAATACTAATTTTGTTTAATTTTATTAATAAAAATTGTTAATAACTGTATCTGTAACTATTAACTAGTAATTGATAAAACTGTTGATATTCATTAGTTAACAAATTAAAATCAGTTAACACTGTTTGAGAAGAAAAACTGAAATTTTGGTGGCCTTAATAATATTGATGGTGGCATTAACCAGACCTATGGCTTGGGGATTTGGAATTTCTCAAGCTGTCTTTCTGGGTTCCAGGATCTAGTAGAACAAGTTGAGTCCCTAGATAGTGCTTTTTAGCTTTCTTTGACCATGTTAGTGATTATTGCAACCTAGCAAGTATAGTTAGGATTGAATACAGACAATCAGGATGCTCCATTTTCCCTTGCTAAGTTTGTTGAGTTGTTAATGAATTTCTCTTCTCATGAAAAAATGGATTAAGGACTATGTCTGATTCAGACTTTAGGATGAGTATGTCTATGTAATGAACTTGAACTCGAGAGAGTCAGAATTTTTCATTCTGTGTTTGGGTTTTTGATATGAGAAATGAGTAAAACAACTTTTGGGTAAGTACTTATTGAAGTGTTTGCAGTAGCAGTTGTAGTTTATCTCCATTCCTGGTACTTTTGCATGAGGATGTGGGTCAATAGTCGTAGCTAAGGGTGAGATACTCTTTCAGTAAAGAAATTGGTGCTTGGAAATAATTATGACTCTATGATGCATATATGGATTGGGTGTGCAAAACATATCTTGGCCTGCAGAACTGCTCAGTGGAGTAGGAGAAGAAAGTATTTAACAGTAGGGTTTCATCTAATTGAGGTGCTTCCACTCCATCTCTTAATAATGCTTTGTTTTATGCAAGTGGAAAAGAAACACATTGTCAAGTTTTCTTCTGGAAATAGTAATCTATTGAAGGCTATCTGTTTCTATTGAATGTTAAATCTGCCATTTTATTTCTGTGTCTAACTGTACTTTTTCCCCTTTTGTTCTCTCTCATGGATCAAGGTTGTTCCAACTGAGTATGCTTCACAATTTCCAATGTTCATTAACACCATGGAATCAAGGTTCTTTAATGTATATGAGGCAATGTAAATTTATTCTCTCATATTGAAATATTGGAATATTTATTGTTGTGGTTATTGTGATGCTTTCTTACTATTAAGCGCAAACTGCACCCTGGTTTAAGCTTTTTGTGCATCCTTTATGTGGATCCCTTGATCCTGGTCTGAAGAAAGGATTGCTCTGTTAATATAAATGTATATTCATCATGCTATCTTGATTGTTTAATGATTTTCCATTTCTTTTTAAAATTTGTTGCTCATAAAATGCCAAATCTTGACTAACTATAGTCATGTAACTCTTGCAGTGGCATGCTTGTTCAAGATCCTTCAAAGAATAATGATGTAGATGCAATTTTCAATCAAGCTAGGCAAGTAGGAGCTGTTGAAGGTCCTTTTGAAAATCTTCCTCCATCTTCAAGTTCAAGAAGCTTTACTGGCACTGGGAGATTGCTCTCTGGTGACACTGTACCATCTGAACCTCAGCAGCCTGAGGCTGTCATTCACAACATAGTTTTCTGGACAAATGGTTTCACTGTTGATGATGGACCTCTGAGGAGGTTGGATGACCCTGAAAATGCTTCCTTCTTAGAGGTAAGAGAAATTTGCATTTAAAGTTGGGAAGCAGTAGAAGTAACGAGAGATGAAATAACAAAGATATTGTGTTGGTGTATGGTTTCTCTTCCTTTATTGGAGTAGGTTATTAGCGTGTTGCTAGTATGACTACAAGGACACGTGTTGTCTTCTGTTTTTTATCCTCCCTGCTTATACTGCAGACAACTTTCATTCTTTTTGCCAATTTCCCAGTTCTTTGCATTCTATGAGTTGCTCTAAATTTCTATTACAACACCACTTGTGCTGCTGTATTAATGATTTTGTTACATGTCAATTCAGAGCATCAGGAACTCAGAGTGTCCGAAAGAGCTTGAGCCTGCAGATAGAAGGTCTCCTGTCCATGTCAATCTGATAAGAAGGGAAGAGAAATGCCCTGTAAGCCTTCCCCTGTCTCTTTATCTCCTAAATAACCTGTAGAATTTCGAAATATGATGTCCAACCAGTACTTGAATGTACAGAGTGTTGTCCTCCACTGCTTCTAAATGAATTTGTGTAATTTTTTTTTTAAGGTGTTGACAACCACAGGCTGATTTTTTTTTCTTTTTTCTTTTTTTTTGGTTGCCTGCTACGGGCTGATTGTTTAAGGTTGAGTTGATGATATCTTGCACCTATGGTTTTCTAATTGCAGGAACCAGAAAAGAGTCGCCATGTTCCATTTCAGGGCGTAGGAAGAACTCTTGGGAGCAGCAGCAATTCAACAGTTGCCGAGCCCTCTCCTGCCTCCTCACCTAACACTGCTCCAACCCCTTCTCCAGGTCTCTTTGTTGATCAAAATTTACCATCAACTTCGATTCAGGTGAGGTTAGCAGATGGGACTCGCATGGTTGCCCACTTCAATTTCCACCATACAATCAATGACATCCGTTCCTTCGTCAATGCTGCTACGCCTGGGGGTGCAACAAATTATCAATTGCAGCTGATGGGATTCCCACCTAAACTCCTAACCGATCCCTCTCAAACCATAGAGCAGGCAGGCCTTGCCAATTCCGTTGTTATCCAGAAATTCTAGCGTACTAGTTGCAATTAAAAGTTCTCTAAACCTTTCAGCAACTTATTGTAGCTAGTGAAAATATTTCAATCAACTTAGTAAGCATGATTGTCAATGTCCTACTCCTATATACGGTGAAGAAGGTTTTGCTGGCTGATTGTGGTTAAATGGAATTCATTTTCTGTGATTTCTTTTCTTTTTCCAATTTCCATCAAGTTCGTAGTCATTATCCTGCTGCTTTCCACGTACAATGATATCATTTATAATGGGTTAAAATATCAATTTAGTTTCTTAACTTTTAAATTTGTATCGAAATTATTTCTGAACTTAAAAAAGTATTAAAAATTTAAAATTACTCTTAAATTTTAATTTGTAATATTAAGAAAGTCATTTTGTTAATAGAAGTGTTATGTAATTTATTATTTTATCATAAATTTAGTTTTTTTTTTAAATCCTAATAATATGTAAAATTAAACAATCATATTTTGTCATTATGGTATATTTTTATTAATAAATCATATTGATATATAATTAAAGTTAAAAAATCAAATTGGTATTTATAATCAAAATTTAAGAACTAAGTTGGTATTTGTTTTTAAAGTTTAAGGACTGAATTGATATTATCTTCAAAGTTTGAGAATTATTTTAATATTAAAATTTAAAGTTTAAGGACAATTTTGATATTTTTTAAAGTTAAGAGATCAAATTGATATTTTAACCTTTATAATTTATTGATTCTAATCCTGTTCGTATCAATGGAATGGAATTATGCAGGATTAGGAATGGGAATGAGTGATTGAATGACTTGTATGTGTTGTTTTCGACCCATCCTTGAAAGTTGAAACTAAGCATAAGGAATTTGAGAAAGTCCATATTATTAGGTTTGCGGAGGGTAGCGTAGTTGGGTCACCATGAGTCAGAAGTCAGACAAATTGAGCTAAAGAGATTTGCAAATTAAAGAAGCCAATGCATGACTTGCTTCTCACGAGTTTGCAGGTTGTGATCTTGTACACGCTGGTCATACAATGTTACCTATACTGCAAATTTTGCCGTTTGGTTTAGTAAGTCAAAGTCTTAAGAGGCCCTACTTTGGTTTGGTCCACTCAAACAAATTAAATTTACTTTAAGTGTTGGTAAAAAAAATTTGAGTACTGAACTTGACTTATAACACCACAATTGATTGCTTAAAAAAACCTATTATTGTGATTATAGAATGAGAAGAAGAGAGAGAGAAGAAAAAAAAAGGAGAAAAATGAAAAAAAAAGAAGTGTAATTGATAGAGAAGATGAAAATTTAGAATGAAAATTTAGAATTAATGATATAATATAAGATATATTATTAAATTAATTAATACATATAATATTATAAATTTTAAAAAAAATAAAAAAGTTAATTATTAAATAATATAAGATTTATCTTTTAA